TATTATTGTTAAAATATTATCAGATTCTTCACGTCTGTATGAAATATTCAACAAAAAATTGCATTTGCTCATTTCGACAAACATCAAAATTGCGTTCTCTGCGCATTCTTATCATTTTCGCGTTATTATTTCATTTACAAACATTTAAGTATTGAGAATCCTCTCAAACTTTAATTAAGCATGTGCATTTGCGTGAATATTTAAAATAAATTCCTTTTTCCTTCTGTTCTAGTTATACGTACCTATTTTTGCTCTATTTAACGAGTCGCTAAAAACGGGAAGCGTTTTAGAATCGATGTCCTCTTAGAACAGCCGGAACAACTGGCCGTTCTAAGAGGTTATGTTAATTAATCCGAAATAATAACTTTTTTCGAATTACCAATTTGAATGGTAATGCTGTTGTCGTTAATAAATCCAAGTCGATTATTAAAAAGACATCTCTTAATATATTTTAGCATTTTATTTCACCCATTTAAGTTTATTAGAATAAAAGTTTTATTTTTCTCTGGCGGTAGTGAAATTAAAGAATATATCTTTCGACCAGTGGTGTCTAAGAAAGGAAGAACAATGTGTTATCGATCTGATTGATAATGATGTTAATCGAGCTATTTTGTACCTTCTCTTAGTATCTACAAAAACTGAGCGTTATTTGTAGGATGGTAACGCTCAGTTTATTTGTGTTGCAGTTTCATGTTACTTTAGTAGGTCGCGTCTTCTTAAACAGGAATAAAATTGTTTCATTGTGCTGCGTCATTACTTCTTGACATTCTTTCAGAAACTAGGATCTTATTCATTTATCTAGAATTAGAACCATATTTCACCGACTGTGACTTCCATTTGCATTTTTCTTGCGACTGAAACTCGATATGGAAGGTAATACATCACCGAAACTAATGCTTTTAAAACTGTAGAGTCATTAGTATTTTTTTTGAAGCAGAAGACGTGAAGAATATAAAATGCCCTGGCCGGGACTCCAACCTAGACCTCTCGAATACGACCCGAATGTGCTACCTTTAAACCACGAAGGCCTGCTAGAAGGAGGGAGAAAATACTTTATAAAATCAAGCAAAATATTCCAATATTATATAACTTAGGAGAAAAGGTTCAAGAAAATTTTTAATTCAGTTGTCAGAATGTTTGTTATTTCCACTGAAGTTTGTTTCAAAGTTTGTTTCGAACAAGCAACTAAACACTTTGTAAATTGAACTCTCCCGGAATTCGTTTCATTACTAAACATATTGCTCTTAATTCCTGCAGATGGGTCACATAATACTCGATATAGAAATGTCTGAAGATTAACTTTAGACATTAATCTGGGTAAAGGAAGGAACTAAACAAATTTTAAAAAATTAAACTTCTAATCTGAAAATTTTGGATTCGTGCAATACATCAAAGCAGCGTTTATCGTTAAGTTTTTTAACTGAAAAATTTTTAAAAAATCTATACAGAGCTTTCGCTTTTGTTTTTAAATGAAAATAATATATACTGTTGCCAATTCATGAGATAGAAACTTTATTGTTCATTAAAGCCCTACTTATAAAAACTGGTAACTTTAAAAGTTCGGACATTCGTTTCTGCCTTCCATTTTTTAATGTAAAATGATATAAATAAAATAATTGCTAAAACCAATACTAGTTAGGTTTTATATGATTATGGCAAAACACTCGAGAGCTATCTGCTTAAGCGATGACTTCGTGGAGAACTTTCTAAGGGAAACTGGCTCTCTTCGCGTTACACATGGAGAAACCATGAAAATGACCATGCAGCCAGCCCTTCCGCCTGGATTTGAATCCAGGTAGGAACCAGTGTTTAGTGATTTACCGCTCGGCCGCTGGTGGGTTCAAGCTGAAGAATATAGTTATTTTAAAAGCTGGAATGGAACGCAAACGCTAACAGCCACGATTGTTGTTGCTTTGGAATTTATTTCTCTACAAACATTGGTTTAATCCCATTTTTAGAACATATTAAGGTATAGGTGGTGTGGTGTGGTGGTGTATTTAATAATGGCAAAGCACACTAGGGCTATCTGCCTAAGGGGAGGGATGCCTTCGTGGAGGACTTTCTAAGGGAAACTGGCTCGTATCACGTTACACATGGGGAAAACCACGAAAACACCCACGCAGCCAGCCCGTTCGCGGGATTCGAACCTCGGACTGAACTACCAGTGTTCAGCGACTTTACCGCTCGGCCGCTGGTGGGCTATTAAGGTATAGGTATTATAATGGTAATTCTGTAGTGTGACACACCTCATTTTGCATTACATTAAGGGTTAAATTTAATAAAAGAGTTCATGGTCTCATCAGCAGCTTTCATATTACTGCAACTGCTAGTTTCTAATGATTGCCGATAACATTGGTTTCGGCTAAATCAGAGAACTAAACACCTGGAAAATGAATATTATCAGACTATCAAATAGCCTTTTAATCATTATTTATTTCAAATCAGATCGATTATTATGATGGAGGTTATTTGGCCTGCATCTTCCAGGAAATCTCCAGAAATTCTTATTTCTGAAATGTATTTCCTGGTTACCAGTGTAAATTTATATGAATTTGCGTTTGCTGGTCACTTTTCATAGCTTAGTTTAAAACTACTAATAATACAATAATAATAATTATGAATAATAAACATTCTTTTATTAGTGCTCTTGTAAAGAAAGGGGTAAGTTATGCAACTTTTGCGTCATAACAGTGAATGCAATTCAGAACAGGCTAAGAGGAAAGAGATCTTTAAAATCACATCTTACGCAGAATACGTAGTGTCTGTGATAGTTGTTTGTACAGCATTGTAGAAAATTTTTAAATACTCTCAAGGAAGTTTTGACGTTTTTTCTGACACTCAAATAAAAAAAGCTTCTCTGAAAATATTTTAGTTTTATATTTTAGGAAATTTATAAAACCCTCTCCTTCTAAACTGTAATTAACAGTAAAAATTCTAAAAATGTACATTACTGGAACTACGCTGACTTTTCCGCGCTAGGATGCTCAAATTGTGTAGCATCACCTGAATATGCTTCACGAGTCAACAAAATTACTTATCTTAGTATCAGTATAATATTACTAATTTTTGAATCTTAGGAAAACTTGCTGTTCGCGAATCCAAAAGGGTTTTTACTCTATGTAATAAAATTATCTTGTCGTTTTGTTTTAAACTTTTCTTCGTATTAACCTTCCAGACACATCTATTTGTTCAATCTGATTTCCTATATCGTATTTCGAATGTATTAATTCCACTGACATAAGATACTGATCTGGAATTACGGAATTATGGTACTTTCTGTGTGATACTAACTATATTGCTTTTTTTTTTCCTTTTAGGGAAAGTACTGTGTGCATTACTTCCTAAATGGGTATGAAAAACTAACTTCTGAAAATATTATAAAGAAAATATGATACATGCCAAGAAGTATTTATGCAAGCAAAGGAAAATTTAAAGAACACCAATGTTTCTTTCGAGGTTTACTTGATGATCGAGTCAAAATTTGAGAAACACTGGTATTTGCTTGTGAAGAAAACATAAAAATATATTATGAAAACTCATTCATATATATCGTAATCATAATCATTTCTTTTAATTACTCTTAACAGAAGCCATACAATGAAAAAATGTCTAACACATTAGTATTTAATTCATTTACTTAAAAATAACAGTCTACGAAGCTATAATGCGCATTTCAGGCGCATTCAGATTTTTAACCGTTCAAAATAACTCTTATTAAAATATGAATTATAACTGATATAAACATTTACTATCTAAGTAGATATTTAAGTTTTCCAAGGGCTGCAGATTCTGTCACCTCTTAATAAAGTATTTAACCCTTAACTTAGTGAATGTATGTATACAACGCAAATTCCATCATCTTATAATAATTTCTTTAATCTTTAATTATATTTCATCCCAAACATACATATATAGTTTTAGAAATGGAAATCTTACACGCTTTACATCCTTAAATTTGTTCAGTAATTTTTTAGGGGGGAGTGGAGCAGCCCAATTAAAATTTATGCATTAACTTTCTCCATCTTTAGGTATTTTCTAAGTTTGCTCTATTTAAAGTAAAAGATAAATAAGCGCTTTATTTAATAATGACTTTAAATAAATATTTTGCACGGAATTTTCTGTTCTTTCATATAATAATCATAATGCCTTTCAATGAAGAAAAACAAAGTATAGTTTCTAGTGACTTCTTAGCCTGAAAGGAAATTCACCTAGTAACTAGTTATGGCAAACTAATGATTGATTTCCTGATATAAGGTTTATTTTATCTATAATGATACAATAAGATTACATAAAACGTTTGGTTTAATTAATTTAGAAACTCTTGAACTTTAGCTTAGTACGATTAGAAATCATACATGAACGCTGTGCTCAACTTTAAAAAAAATGATTTTTCTTTGTAGAAATAATGTATGTCAAAACATGCTTCCCTTCATTAAAATGAATTCTCGATTCTGCATTCTCGATTGAATCTCCTTTAGATGATACTTAGACAAACATATTTTATTTTAATAAACAAGCTGTTGTTTGCCCACTTATTCTTTCCAAAGTTATTAATGTATAAAATTCAGTTTGCTATAAATTGTGACTAGATTTAGCATTATATTTTACGCAGCATGAAATGAATAAGATATATTACTTTATCAGAAAATTATGATCATGTACCAAATAAAGTGTTTCACAAAATATATTATTGGCGGAGAATCTAATAAAAGATATTCCGAATCTTTTTGACAAATTTTTGATCGAAATTCAAAAGAACTAAATGTATAAAAAAATTTTGCTCGTATGATGGATATAAGAGGGTAAGGAAAATTTATCTTAATTTTAAATCATAAAAAATAATTCTAATAAAGTAAAATCTTTTTTTAAAAAAGTTACTCAATTAAACTGAATTATAAGCCATTCATTTAATTTCAGAATTACAGCATGAAACGTAAACAGTTTGTGAACGCATAAAATCATTCTCAATTAAAGGAGGGGGAAAAAGTTATAATTCTCACCATATCTAAAGGAGCCATACAAATCGCACTCCGAATAATCCACGAAATTTTCCTTTCCTTTTAATGCAGTTTCTTCCTACGCATGAAAAACTTCACGAAAATCCAAAATTCACACCCAGTACATCACCACAGTCTTACTATATAATCCATTTCTCCCCTTAATCTCTCCATCCACGAACGTGAAGCGAGGGATGGAATGAGAACTGTTCGAACCAAGACCCAATCTGCGTTTGCTGCCTCAGAGACTTACCTGACACTAAAAAGCGGTCTTCAAGGTTCCGTGACGTCACGCAATCGCTCAACGGAACTCAATCCCTTTTTGTTCTTTTTTCTTATTATTATTGGATGTATTGTGTGGTGGTTCCTCGAGTGATGGCAGGTCGCGCTAGCTTCACTTTCACCTGTTGGCTTCTGGAGAGCTCGGACGACTGTTAGCGCACAGCTCGGCAGGTGGTTTTTGGGAATATGCGTGTTCAAAGCCTGCGAGGATGCGGCCGCTTTGCTAAAAGTGCTCTCCAAACGCACACACGTGGTACCTGGGAGAAGGATCATGACTGCATGTTAATATCGCTATTATATTAGGCTCGCTCCAATTCATATATCGAGGGGCTTGTTTATCCAACAAAAGCACTTTTTGCTTTTAAAGAGATTTATAACTCTCCCTGCATTCTCGATTGAATCTCCTTATTTTTTCCGAATACTAAATATTAATAGGATTCTAAGCGAGCAGATTTCTTTTCCGAAAGAGAAAGTACATTATTTATTTTGTCGAAGATGAATTTGATGTGATAAATAATATAAATCTTTCACATTTCTTGTGAGCTAAAGACGCAGCTGAAAAGTAAATAATGACCAAAGTAATTAACGACCGGAGAAATAAAACCTGGGTCTTTTCTAATTTGTAAACATATGTAAGTAATTTTTCAACTAATTCTTTGTCTTGGAAATCATAATTGCTTTTGGAGTCATGCTACCTCAGAGACCGAATTTCTCATCACTGTTATTACCTAAGTTGGTTGGAAGGCTTAAAATTCGAATACGAATAACATAAAATAGGTGAAAAAGTTCAAAAGGGGAAATTAACAAGCGTTTAAAGAGAAAAATAATCAATAATGACAGAGAGTGCTTTGATTGTAGCATGTAATACAAAACATACACATTAAGAAAATAGGTATTCAGTTTCCCAATATTAGGCAAATAAATATTTCTAACTTATTTCTAACTTTAAAATCATTATAAATGCTAAGATGGCGTAAGAAATTCTTTAACAATGGGTAACGTTTTTATCATTCAAAAATATGTAGATTGATAAACCAAATTGCAAAGAGAAGGGAGAAATAAAAGCAAAAGAAAAGGCGAAAAGTAATAATCCAGTGCCACTAATTTTACGTTAGAAATGATCAAACTGACTTGGTTTTATTTTCTTCAGGACTAGCCCCAACAGTGACAGAGTGGTTAAAGACTGCCGAGTGCTGGTTGTTTGTACGAGGTTCGAACCCAGGCAAACCCCGATGGGTGCATGGCCGATTCCTTCTTACGTGTAACGTAAATATGAACGAGTTTCTCTTAAAAATTCCTCCATCGAGGCATCTCTATTCTTAGGCAGATAGCCCTGGAGTGCTTTACCATTTTCAATAACCAGACTCCTTTAATCCTAAAAACGGAAAGGGAGGCGAGTTAATGCTTTGGAATGCAGTCAATTCTCGATTAACTGGGGTTAATATAGCGGATGACGTCTACGGTGAACTCAAAATCACGGTTAATCAGAGGGCAGTTTAAAACACGCAGGAAACGGGAGTAGCATACATGGGCAGAAAAAAACAACACGGGAAAATGCTGTTTTTTTTAGTATCTGTATTTTTGAGATTTGGAGACTAAGTTCATTTATTTGTGTAAATTATATCAGAATTAAGAATAATAGAAAAAATTAAAATAATCGTAAATAACAGAAAAATAATAATTAAAATATAGAAACTAAAAGGCATTAAAGAAGTAATGTTTTAAAAGTGCCACTAAGTTCAAACTTGAGTTAAAAAAATCAGTTACAAGAAACGTGCTTATAGGTTATCGTAAAATATGTTAAAATCGTGTAATCTGTAAGAATATCAGTCAAATCGGTTTCAAATTGATAAACTATGCTTGTAAAAGTCGGTTAAACCCGTTAAAAAAATTGCTGACTTAACTCACGCAAAAAATTCGGTTGCAATTACTCATGGACCTTTTGTTTTTTTCTTATGCAGTGTTTATATGTTCTGGTTTACGTACAATTAAATTAGATACTTTAGTGGAAAAATATAACTGTGAAATATTATGACATAATCTGATATCACTCATATTTCATATCAAGCATTTTTAAACCAAAGGGGCTTTGTTTCCGTTTTGCGATTTTGCGTGGAATCACTGTAAGCGGAGTATCGCTTTTCAAATTTTTGCCACCAAATGTTAGAGTCCTGCATTATACTTGAAGAAATTAAATAATGAAGAATCTGCCTAAATGTATGTATGTTTCTCCCATTGTGATAAAACAACGGTACCTAGAGCCATCCAATTTTGAATGACGTAATCCTACTGCGAATATGGGCATCTGAAAGCCCGAATTTCGAATTTGTTTTATTATAAATTTCATATTTTGTAAAACTTTATCGAATTTTCGTTTAACATACTCAACGATTTAAAAGCGAGCAATGGCATCACTCTACCAGAAAAAAAAAAACTTTATCTCCAGCGCGCGGAACTGTGTATCAGAAATTCTAAAGATAGGCTTATTTTAAAATTATTTTGCGACATTGCTGTTGAACTGAATTTTATGGTTTATAGTGCAAAGAACATGATATTTAATAAATAAAAGTAACACACAAAACGTTAAAATAAAACGCCTCTTTGGACGTAATTTAAAATTTAAACCTTTCAGGTTTATATATATACATTTTGAATCTTCTGTACACAGTTTTGTTTCCCGTTGATAGTAAGAGAAACTTTTCCATCGTTCCACAATAAAAGAAAATAACAGCCTTATTAAGACAAAATTCGGTAATTCGTAACTCGGTTAGCTAGCAGGCGGGATACCAGAATTTCACCATTGGTCGTGCAGGTATAACCCATCGCACTAACTGTGCAGCTAGACTGTGCAGCTTTTCATGGAAATCACCACGGGTGATGGATCCCGAAGATTTCTCTCCCCTCTTTCCCTACCATTAAAAACCTCGAGGGGCCGTGGATATTAAGTGTCCCGCATGCTGCACCAACACTATACACTTACAAACAACCACGCCTTCTCCGGGATTCGAACTCGGATCGGACGATGCGGCAGCCATTATTGCTAACCATTATACCGATAAGGCTGCTTAGACGAAAAGAGCCAAGGGAATTGTCGAAATACTTCTCAAAATGAATTTTAGGAAATCGTATGATGCGTGAATTCGTGTACGATAATTACTCATAATCTGTAGCGTATTACCATTATTATTCATGCTTTCAAAATTTTTATGTTCCTTCGTATTTACTCTTTATAAGACTTCGTAATATTTTTAATGGTATGAGATAAATATTGTAATAAAGAAACAAACTAAATGAAAAATATAGGTTCGAAACATTCCACATAAAAGTGACAGGAAAAAATGGTATCACGCCCAGCGACTAGATTATTGAAAATATATAGTGTCATCAGATGCTTTAAAATAAATGCAGCGTGTAACATAGATGCAGACGCGATTAAAAGAATTCTTATCTCGTCATTGGAATATTCTTGCTTAAGTGCTTTTCAATAGCACAAATCTTTTCTGTTGTGATTTGAAACCTGATTTCATTTATAAATAAATAGCAATACGTTTACAACAGTTACTTTTTACATAATGAAAACGGGATTCTACGGGATTCAAACACAGGCCTATCAATACGGAGCTTGTAACGATTAAGACAACGAAGAGACATCTAAATTTTTGGTTTAAATAACTAATTTTCATTTCCACCTTAGTATTTTAGTCGCCATTACCACCATTATAATAACTTGACCATGAATTATGTCAGAGTTAGGATCACAAGCAGTTGCAAATTTTTGTATGCTTCTTGCCCTTCTCTGAAATTTAATTATGATTAATCTGTTGTTGATTAGCTGCATTAAGAGATATCAAAAGCAACTGATTAACGCGAATTTTTATGTTACATGTATTATATGCTCTACTTTTATGAAAAGAAAATTTTAAACATATATTCACAACTGACATAATTTTCCGATATACTTATTGAAAGAAATCCGTATAAAATGAGTTCGCGCACAGCATATTTCAAGAGTAATTCCGTTTTGCTTTCCCTCTATATAAAATAGATAACTTACCAGCAGTTTATCCCAAACAATAATGGATTTACTTCTCCAAGAACATTCTTTATGAATTCAGTTGCTCCATAAGTGACATAAACTAGAACGATGCACCAATAAAACGTGACTGCTGATTTGACATTTTACTTTAAGCTAAATTAGTTTAAGTGCCTTTTGTGTTTAAAGTAATCCTCCAGAATTTTAAATATGGAATTTTAATTAACATTTTAATGCATGCAAAACTAAGCTGTCCAGCCGATAAAGCGGTTAGTGAAGCTGACTGCCGTACCGATAGCCGCAGGTTCGAATCCCTGAGAAAGCATGAATGCTTGTAAGCGTATACTGTCTAGAGGCAAAAACACTCAAAATAAAGGGTGATCCGAAAGTCATCTCTAGAGGTTGATGGTAGAAAAAGAGGGGTGGGAGATCCTCGAACTGCCCCTCCCGGGGTGATCTCCCTCAAAATTGTATTGGAGCAGTACATCTAGTGGGGCAGAACTATACCTGTACTTCTGCTATATCGTCCCTCAAGCTTCTACTCAGACTCATGCTGCTTCGCAACCACCATCTCTACGTCAACGTCTAAAATTTACTACTATGAACTTTTGATTCCCAATTCTCAACACTCATTTTTGTGCTATTAAGAAATGCTACGTTAAACACCCAACATATTCTACCCAGAAAATGGCTAATAAGCCTAGAAGCCTGCTTCAGTGGCCCACAGCTCCCCTGATTCTATTACCTGTATGCAACAATGCTGAAATTTTGGTATCCTGCCTACTTCTACCTGTACCTGTCTCTAAAATTAGGAGCAAATAATTATATATGAAAGGAATTAGTTTTCTCTTTGTTCTAAATGTAAGAACTTTTAATCGATGCTTTGTCCTTCTCGAGTCTCTAATAAAACA